TGTGTGGCACTGGTTCAGTCATGTTGAAAGGAATTTCTCTCTCTTTCCCAAATTGAGTTTCCTGGGAAGGAAATAATTAATCCAGTTTTAATGATCCAAATTGATCCCCGACCAATCCGCTGTAGCCAGGGGATATGTAAGCATGCCTGCTCTCACTTGTAACCTGCACGTGGGAAGGGTGAACAGTTCCCAGAAGGGGGTTGGCTAAGAAGACATCCAGTAGATTGCATTCAAATAAGCATGGAAGCAAGGACAAATACAGCTTATAGGAAAGATTAAGGCCTAGAATGGGTTGGTTTAATGAAAAATGTCAACAGTGATGACAGCCAGATCAATCTAGTACCAGATATTTAGAAGAATAAGGAAAATAGCTATTGCTTGGGGAAGACTGTTGAAATGTCAACAGATGTCCAAGAGAAAGTCAAACTAAGAATTCCAAGTTGTAGAGAGTCTTTTCGCTCTAGAGAGGGTCGGACAGGCAGCCCTCTGCCTCTGTCTCGCCTCACAAATACACACCCACATCACCCCTAGAGTTCATACACATCACAGGTAGTATAATTCAAGACCAGTTTGCTTATACATCATCATGTGACTCAGTAAATCTAAAATCAATACTTAAGTTCAAAAGATAAGCTGTATTTCATAAACTGCCTTGGCAGTAGATAGAAGAAAAAAGATCTGTCGCTTATGTTGTCCACAGGCTTATTACAAGTGTCCGGTAACATGGCTGCCAACAGACATCAGTTGTGCTCTTTGAAAAAGTTTATTTTATACATATAAAATAAATTATATATACATACTTACGTGCATACAATCTCTAGATTTAGAGCCAGTTGTGAGTGTGTATATTTGTGTGAAAATATGAATGAAATTTGAGAATTATAGAAAAGTATGAAGAAGAAGAAAATAAAAGGGTTTTTGCGAATATTTGGGCAAATTCCCATGCAGGTTCTTTATACTCGTGTTCATAGAGTTCTTCTTCTCCTGTGTCATCTAAGCCAGTACTGCCCTAAGTCTGATCTGCAGCCTGGCAGCCTCACATCCCCGGGATCTTGCTAGAAATAGAACTTCTCAGCCCTAGCCCAGACTTATGAATCAAATCTGTTGTGGTGGGAACTGGGCATCTGTGTTTCAACAAGCCTTCTGGATGATTCAAAAAGCTGGAGAAGCATTAGTCTGTACCAGTGTTACTCAAGCATGGTCTGTGAACTGTTACTGCACTGCCATAAGATAATACCAAAAAATAAGAGTGAGCACCTAGAAACATTTGTATTAATTGACATGGCTGTAACATCCAAGGGTGGGATCATTTTAAAATTTATTGTACTTTACAAAAGTATCAGTTCAGAGTAGACTCTTTAAAAAAGGAGAAAGGGAAATTCATCATGGTTGGTACCTGTGGGGAAAGACAGAGGAACAAATAGGGCTTAATTTTCTTTCTTTAACAAGAATATCTAAAAGCACAAAGAAAAAGTGTTCCTTGACCTCAGATCAATTGGGAAGCACTAGTCTACGTCATCATTGCTTCTTTTTTAGGCAAAACTGCTTGTTTCAAAGAGGAATCTGACACAACTGCAGCCACATGCAAGGGTGACTTCCAAAATCAGTGCTTTTTTTGTTTCACCTGGAAATGAGAAATTTTGAACTTAATGCGGAGGAGTAAGCAGGAGCTCGACTTTGGTCTTTCATTAGCCACAAAGAGAGCCATGTGGTTGCTTTAAAGCAGGGAAATGGCACTATCGGTTTAGTTTTCGAGAAGCATGAGCCAGTCGCGGTGCAGGAAGATGAGTTGGTGGGTGACTGCAGTTGTTCAGTGAGGGATCCAGGGTTGATGGTGGCACAGAGTGGTGTGGATGGAGAGGAAGATGAGTCAACAGACTCAAGAGGCTTGTCTTTTCCTTTACTTTTGCTATAAGTGAATCTAGAATACATGTGTCAGGAGACGAGGGAAAGAATGTCCTTGTTCCCATGCTTTGGCTTGGTTTCCTCTGTAACTTAATTCTGATGGTTTTTCATAATAGCCAGATTTCTGAGATGTTCATTTAAAGATAGCTAAATGGTTGCAGAGCTTGTATTTGCTCACTGTCAGCTCTGCACAATTTGTTGATCTTACCTGAATACCTAGAGAGTCTTCATTTACTATAGAAAATCCTGTTATTGGCCCTTACAATCTGAGAACATGACTTTAATTGTATTTCCATGGAAAAATAAATCAACCAGAATATTTAATAAACTTTGTTGAAAATATAATTTTTCCCCAGAAATACACAGGTACAAAACCATTTAATTAAAAATTTAATATTGTTTGTTACGCATTATTGGTGAGAAGGAAAAATTTACCCCTGCCCCCTGGATTCTTCTCAGACTGGTAGTCAAATTCACATCAGACAGTTTAGTAGGAAAAAAACCCAAATTTAGTTATATATATGTGGGGAATCTACATGGAAATGAGGATTCCAAAGCTCGTGGGGCAAAGTAGGGGTATATATCATGAGCTGAGGAGTGGAATGGGAGCCTGGGATGGCAAGGAGAAAGGAAAGTGACTCATGTGATAAGGAAATGTGACTTATAAAATGAAGACCAGGTTCTTTGTAATTAGGTATTTGCCCAGCCATATAGATAGAGTCTCTGCCCTCTTACACTGTTGGTGGGAATGTAAACTGGCCCAGCCCCTATGGAAAGCAGTTTAGATGTTCCTCAAAACACTAAAAATAGATCTGTCATATGACCCAGCAATTCCACTCCTAGGTATCCACCTACCCAAAGAACGTAAAAACACCAATTTGAAAAGAAACCTGTGTTTATTTCAGCGCTGTTTACAATATCAAGATATGGAAACAACCCAAATGCCCCAAAATAGATGAAAGGGTCAGGAAGATAAAAGGATCAGCAATCAAAAAAGACAAACTCATACCATTTGTGACAACATGGATTGAGCTGGAAGGGATTATGTTCAGTGAAATAAGCAGAAGGGGAAAGATATTTACCTGATGGTGTCACTAATATGTGGAATCCAGATAAACCAAACAAAGAGTCAGACAAAGACAAATTTTAAAATCACCCCTGGAAGTTGACCATTGATTTGAGGCATCCAAGAGAGGAGGGTGAGAAGGAGGGGAAGGGGTGAGAATTGGGGGTTGGAGGGGTACAATGGATTGTGATGGATGACTCTGGGTGCTTTGTTGGTATGAGAGCTACAGTGACCACACCTGAGGGTCAGAATATCCTATACTGTCAAAACATTAACAAGGATGTAAAGGTACTTCAATAAATAATTAAAAATAGATAGGGTTCTCTGATATAAAGACTATTTCTGGTCAGAACCCTTAATCAGGGTAGGACCATCAGTTTCTATTCTTTCAGATAATTAAGTTTCTTTTGAGCCTGCAGGAAGACATGACTTTTCCCTATATCATTATAGATTCTTGGCTAAGATCTTTCCCTTAATAGAAGACAGATGAATAGGACCAAAAAATTAATTGCATAAATACATACTGGAGCCCCACAAGAATATGAAACTCAATAGATGGTTGAACATTATATAACCTTCCCGAGCTAAGTGGGGGATGGGGGTGTCGGGGCTGGAATTCACAGGCAGGTGAGAGGAGGCGATGACTGCCTTGCCATGCAGATAAGTCTCTCTTGGTGAAAAAAGTCACCTCTGGTAATACATCTTCCTGGTATGAGCTAAGGTAAATTTCCTTTACAAGCAATTTCCATTGTTTTCAGAGCTCAGGGTGTTCAATTTCTCAAAATAATCAGCCCAAAATAATAAACATTCCAAATATTTTGGGTGGTAAATTCTGCTACCTTCAACAGAGAAAGCACATAGCTAACCTTACAGGAAATGAAAAGTGAGATGTTTGGGGCCTCCCCGGTGGCGCAGCGGTTGAGCGCTGGGTTGTGAAGCTGCCCGCAGCCTCTGCAGCACCGGTTCGATCCCCGGCTGCTCCCCGGCCACCGGAGGAGGGTCCCACATGGCGTGCAGACCTCTCCTGCAGTGCCCTCTGCTCCCCGCTCTGGCGCTGGTGAATTCTCTCACCCTCCCGCGCTTCTGACTGTACCCAGTGCTTGTATACATAAATAAAAATAAATCCTTAAAAAAAAAAAGATAAGTGAGATGTTTGGGGCCAGTTTCAGTCTGTTGATAATTAACCTACAGTTGAGCCGGCTCCTAATAACCGTTTGGAAACTTTGAAAAATTAAAGGTTTATTACTTACTCGACCTGGAAATTGTGTACTATACCTGGAACCATGAACCAAAGAAGGGAAGGGGCAAGGGTGTGGGGGCAGGGAGGGAGTGCAGTGCATTTTAGAGCCTGGAATCTTGTTTTTATTGGGGTTGAGAGTTCGGCCTAGAGTTTTCCAGGCTCACTCTTTATTCGTGATCTTAAAAGAATGGGAAATATGAAGCATAGGGGGAAAAAAAACACCCAAATGGTCAGTTATTAAAATCAACCAAGATAGCGAAAACAAAGGAGCGTTATTTACTTCTGTGACCTGTGGTGTGTTTACTTGAGAAGGCTCTGTTTGTCTTTTTTTTTTTAAGATTTATTTATTCATTTATACAAGCACTGGGTACAGTCAGAAGCACAGGAGGGTGAGAGAATTCACTAGAGCCAGAGTGGGAGCAGAACAGGCAGGCTGACGACGAACACTGCTGAGGGGAGTAGCAGGTGCGGCAGGAGAGGTCTGCGTGCCATGTGGGACCCTTGCTGGGGGCTGGGGATTGAACCGGCGCTGCAGAGACTGTGGGCAGCTTCGCAGCCCAGTGCTCAACCACTGCGCCACCGGGGAGGCCCGAGAAGGCTCTGTTTGAATGGGATTCCTTGGCCAGCTAGACACTTGCATTACCAAAAGAGAAAACCCAGGGTTTATTATACTACTAGAGTCTCCCAACTGAGGCAGCCTGCTAGTTGTGTAGTGGGGAGGTGAACCAGTCTATTGTATTCATTTTTTCATTTATAACCTCTTACCTTTTTCTTTTTGACCACTTCTAGCCTATCAGCTTATCACGGTGGTGATTGCAGCAGCTGGAGGTGGGCTTCTCCTTATTCTAGGCATTGCACTGATTGTTACCTGTTGTCGGTGAGTGATGGGAATTCACATTCTGTTTCTTTGCCTGTGCTATGAAAAGGATAATTTTTATTATCCTTTTAAAGAATGTTCAGGTGGTTTAAAATATTATATCATATTATATGGCTGAACCATTAAGAAAAGGAGAAAGGGAAATCCATGAGATGCCATGCGGGAAATATAAAGACAGCAAGTTGAACTTTACTTCTTTTATTTTTAAAAAGAAAATCCCATAGCAAAATCAAGAGAAGAAAAAAGAAATAGATTGGAATTTATCAAAATGTAACACATACTTCACAGAGCGCTACCAAGAAAGTGGACCAAAAACCCACAGAATAGGAAAAACTCGTAAATTATAGCTGATAAGGCACCTGTATCAAAAATACATAAAGGAATCTTCCAGCTCAATAGTAAGACAAATAGCCCAATTTGAAAATGGGTAAAGAAGTTAAATAGCAGGCCTCCTGGTGGCCTAGGGGTTAAGTCTCAGTGCTATCATCACTACCGTCTGAGTTGGATCCCCGGCCAGGGAGCTGACCCACTTGGCTTAGCAGACCTCTCCAGTCCCGCCCGCTGCTCCCCTTAGCAGTGTATTTCAGTCATTCTGCCTGTTCTGCTCCCCACTCTGTCTCTGGTGAATTCCCCTTTCCCCTGCCCTCCCTGCACCTCTGGCTTGTACCCCAGTTCTTCTACGAAAAAATTAATTAAAAAAAAAAAAGTTGAATAGACATTTCTCAAAAGAAGTCATGCAAATGGCTAGTAAGCACATGAAAGGGTCATTGATCCACTAGTTTTAAAGGAATGCAAATCTGAACACCATGAGATATCACTTCATACTTGCTGAGATGGTTACTAAACAACAAGAAAAAAACGAGAAAATAGTAAGTTGTGGTGAGAATGTGGAAAAAAGAGAAATGTAAAATGGTGTACCACTTTCCAAAAGTCTGCCAGTTTCTCAGAAACTTAAACACAGAATTGCCCTTTGACCCATCCATGCCACTCTTAAGTACGTACCAAGAGAAATGAAAATGAAACATAATGTTCGTAGCCGCATTATTCATGATAGCCAAAAGGTGAAAATAACCCCAATATCCTTCATCTGATAGGCCAGATTTACAAAATAGGATATTTCCATGCAATGAAATGTTTTCATTCCATAAAAGGATTGAAATACTAACATATCTTGAAAAATACGCGGAGTGAAATAAGTCAGTCACAAAAAACCACTTATAAGATTACATTTATATGAAATGTTCAAAACAGGCAACTCTCATAGAGATAGGAAGTAGATTAGTAGTTTGCTAGGACTGGGATGGGTAGTGGGGCAGAACTAGGGAGTAATAGCTCACGAGTTTGGGGCAATGAAACTGTTCTAAAAATGAGTATAATGATGGTTGCACAATTTTGAAAAATCATTAAATTGTACACCTTAAATGGGGGAATTAAGAATAGGATTACCTGAAATATTTCAGCAATAGGGAAGTTGTGGAAGCATGTGGGATGAGCAAGTTCTCAGCAGGAAACTTGCCTGTAGGCCTCCCTCCAGGAAACTAGCAGGAGTGGATTTCGACTGAAAAGGGAAAGAAGGAAAGGAGTCGGGCCCCTCCCTGTGGTTATTTATTCATATAAGGGAAAATTATGACCTTGATTCATATGATAATAAATGACAGGAATGATTCAGACATACAGATGAGGGAACTTAACAAAATAACACGTTTTCTCTTTTACTTTTGATATGAAGGGCATTTTAAGATATCCCCTACCCCAGTGAGACTGCAGAGAACTATTTGCCCTGTCAGTTCAGGAATGCAGGCCTTGTGGCACAGCCTTTGCCTATGCAGGGGAAGGAAACTTTTCCTTCTACCACTCTAGGGTCTTTCTCTGGTTTAATAATTAAATTGGCATGTAAGACAGATTAATAGGAGAAAAATATACTTAATAGTTTACGTAAGAAGGCCTCAGAGACATGAGTCTGGAGAGCAAGCTGGTTAAGTCTGCCAGATTGAGGAAAGGAGTGGAAGAGGAGCTTAAGGCTTCAAAGGGGAGGAGGGTAATTCACAGCATAAGAACAGGTGTTGGGTGATTTGATGTTTGTTCTGCCAACCGCATAGGTCATTCAAACAGAACTGATTGTTCTTTGGGCCAGGCCTCCTATCTAAGTTGTTTTTAAATAATTAAGGGAGAGATAAAGGTTTGCCTTAAGTCTGTAGGGTCTTGATTACCTTCGGCCTGAAATGCAGTCACACATTGCTAGATACTTGCTAAGAAATGGGTTGTTAGGTGATTTCGTCATTGTGCAAATATCAGGAAGCATAGTTACACAAGCTTAGCTGGAGGAGTGTGCCACACACCTGGGCGCGGTGGTGTTGCCTACTGGGAGCACCATCTGTAGTGGACAGAACCTGATAATCAAGGCATCACTGTAATCCACACGCCCAAGCGGCACATACAGGGGGCCTGTTCTGAACACCTTCACCTTCTTTTGTAAAGTTGCCTTCAAATCATCAAAGATATACTGGGGGGATAAAAGTCTGAATGTGAAACAAGGACCTAGAGAACTAAAGTCTGGTGCTCAAAGGGGCATAAGCTTCATATTTGCTGAGTGTCCTGTACCTGGTAGTGTGGCCATTTCAGGCAGGAGCCTCTCAGTGTCAGGAAAGGAAGGTGGTTGTGAATGCTAAGTTTTTATTTAAAGAAGATACCCCACCCTCCAGTGAACAATACAGAGGCAGGTCTGTCTATGCCTGCAAGAAGGCCAACATGTAAGCCATATGCTGGACATTTGATTCTATGATCTGAGTCATTATGTACCTTCCCAGAACATTTATTTATAAGTAGAAGGAAGAAACTTCAGTTTATCTTATCCAGGACATCTATAATTAAATTCTCTGCTATAGTCCCACTAGACAAGTGAATAACACATTACCCAAGCACTTCCCGTCAGTGACATCTCACAAGTAGGGAACTTGCCCCAGGATTCCCCTGACCTGCTAAAGGAAGAGTATGCACAGGTATATAAACACGTGGGCTAGTTTTCTGATTTGTGAAGTAGCTTCAAGTGGTGAAAGAGCACTGGCCAGGGGTTGAGACCAGAATTCTAGTCCCAGCTTTACTAGCAGCAAATGCCACCCAGGGAACAAGCCCCATCTCTTTGTAAGGCCAGAGTTGCGTGATCCCCAGAGCTCCTGTTTCAGTATATTTCTGAGACTTCGAAGCTCCCGTGTAAATTCTGATGCCCAAACAGGTTGAGAACCACAGAACTAAAGAATTCTAAAGATCTTCTGGCTCCAGCTTTCTGTGAATTTCTAACTCTTGTTCTCTGGAGTCCAGGAGTCCAGATCGGCTCCACCGCAACTGTCTTTGTCCTCTCTACTCTTGATAACCTGGCCTTTCGAGTTGAAAGAGGTTTTTTTTGTACCAGTTGCATTTTTACTTGTTTTTGGCAAGTACCAAAAATAATAACATTCCTCTGTGGGCAGTGACAAAGAAATAAGTGGTAGCTTTCAGTCTAATTTACCTTATGAAATAACAGATGGTGCTTCCAGATATCATTTGGAACTTATTCATGTAACTTTTCAAATGTTTTTTACCTACAGAAAGAATAAAAATGATATAAGCAAGCTCATCTTCAAAAGTGGGGATTTCCAAATGTCCCCATATGCCGAGTACCCCAAGAACCCTCGATCACAAGAATGGGGCCGAGAAGCTATTGAAATGCATGAGAACGGGAGTACCAAGAACCTTCTCCAGATGACAGATGTGTATTATTCGGTGTGTATCCCTATACCCGGGGCAACCTCAATGCTGTAGTTTCCTCTGAAAGTCAAGGGATTCAGTTTTGTTATCGTGTAGTTAGCTAGAGTGAGCTAAAGCTTAAAGAGAATGGTGGCATGCACTGCTTATTCACATAATTTAAGACTCAGTTTACTTATGATGTATTTGCACGCTATTTATTAGTTTTGACATTGAAATAGGAAGGATAGTTCCACGGGGCACATTACTGTCATGAGGTTGTCGTAATACCCTCTGGTTCCTGAACTTGCTTTTAAGTTACAGGATTGGAAACTGAACGAGAAGGAATGTAGTGGTAGTTAGGCACTGGCCCTTTCATTTTTATCTCTGGCGTGCCATGACCCCTGTGGCTGCACAGGCAAAACAGCAGGGATTGGGAAAAAATGCATAAAGCAAATGATTCATGTCACCCCCAACAAACACTTCTCAAGGCTTGGATCATATACTCAGGAGTCTGAATTAATTTGCTCTGTCCAGTTCTTGGCTGCCTCATTGGGTAAGTTGGGAGGCTGCCTTGAACTCTTGCTAATTCTGTTCCACATTGAACACCTGGAGCCATATTCCTGTGCGTTGCTCAGTTCACTTCACATAAGTAAACGAAGACAGGATATCTCATGCCATTTGGAGCAGTTTGAGATATAGCAGTAAACATGAAAGCTAACCCTGGGAGGGACTTAATAGCGCTGGCAATTATGTGACAGAAACCACAACCTTGCCGGTTGCTATGGGAATTGACTGAGAGTTCAGACTTTGGATGGGAGGAGTGGGTTTGTTCCTGCTATGGAAGTTTTGAAGGACTCTTTGGAAAATTTCAACCTGGAGGATGAATAAGAAGAAATAAGGGGACAAACATAGGCTCAAACTTAACACTAGAGAAAAATGATTCCATAGATATTTCTGCAAAAGGGTTTTGCTATTTCCCCCTCTGTTTATCAAGAAAGTTCTTTTTACTCCAGTAACTGCAGACACAACTAAGCAGGTATTTTACCCAGATGCATCCACACACTCACATCCTTTGCTTGATAGGGTGTCCTCTACCCAGCGTGGCGTGATGACATGGAAGTGAACAGGACCCAACTTGCTACGTTTCCATGGTGTTAACTAAAGAACTGCCTTAAAAAGAATCAAGAGCTTAAATGAACCCTATATTCATTTCAAAATAGCATTCTGAGTAGTCAGCCTACTTCAGCCCTGAGTAGGCATGGCTGAAGCTTATGGCTAGAAGCTGTCACCTGAGTGAGGGAATTGTCCCTCACAGTGGTCTTGGGTGAACATTGGGGTCTCGTAGGATTACGTTTCTAATATGGAGTATCTAGGGTTTTATTTCTACCAACCAAGCATTTTCCCTTGGTGGTCCTGAATGAGGCCCTCCTTCAAGGAACCAGGTCATTCCTAGGGATTTTTTTCACATCAGATAGATAGTTGCAACCCACTGAATTGTGCTGTGGGTGGGAGACACCTGAGAGTCACTGCTGGCCTCCTGCTCAGGATCCTGACTCCTTATAACCTGTGTAGGTTGGTCCCCATTCATGGCAGGAACAGTTGCATTCTGCTAAATGCCAGCAAGAATTTAAGGTCATTTTGCTTCCCAGAGGAAGACTCTTTTTTTAAGTCAAGATCATAAGCAGGTAATAAATTAATTCTGATAATAATCAAAACAGTAGTTAGCCCAGGGTTTTTGCTATGTTGGTCTAAAATCACTGGGTTTCCCTTCATTGTTTTTGTTTTCCCTCTTTTTGCCTGAAAATACAGGCAAAGGTATCCCAGTTTGCATAAGGAGACAGAACTGGGAGGTCCTTGCTCTATGATGTATAACTGCCTCCACCTTAAGTTTATTAAATGTAGCCTTCTTTAAAAAAAAAAAAAAAAAACCCACACACAGGGCCTTCCCTGGTGGCGCAGGCACTTGAATGCCACGCTGTGAAGCTGTCCACAGCTTCTGCAGCGCCAGTTCAATCCCAGCTGGCCTCAAGGATCCCACATGGTGTGGCAGACCTCTCCTGCCACACCCGCTGCTCCCCTCATCAGTGTATTTCATCACTCTGTTCTGTTCCCTGCTCTGTCTCTGGTGAATCCTCTCACCCTCCCGTGCATCTGGCCTGTACCCCGTGCTTGTATAAATAAATAAATAAATCTTTTAAAAAAAAAAAAAAAGCTATTAAATTTAAACCCAAGAATAATAAATTGAGTTTTTTCTCTTTGGCCACCAGCCCACAAGTGTAAGGAACCCTGAACTTGAACGAAATGGACTCTACCCAGCCTACACTGGACTGCCTGGCTCTCGGCATTCTTGCATTTTCCCTGGACAGTATAACCCATCTTTCATCAGTGATGAGAGCAGGAGAAGAGACTACTTTTAAGTGCAGAGAGAAGGGGGCCATTGCTCTGAGCTCACCGCCGGGACTGCTGTTGCTCAGAGGACTGCCCCAGGAGGGGCCGCTGCACATTGGCTGCTCCCAGGACACACGGAGCCATGCTTGAGCGGCAACAAAAGTGGGGACAGGTGTGAGGGGAGTGACCACAGCAGAAGGGGGCGCACGGGCCCTGCGGACGTGGGACTGCACGCTGCTCCTTCATCACCCTCATTGTTACTGTGAATGTGAATGTGGGCGGGTGGGAGCGACCACAGCATGGCCGCTGGCTTGAGGCATGACTGTCAGGGCAGGTCACTAGGCATCATTGCAAGACCCCAGTGTTTCCTTAGTTTGCACTTTAGTGAATTGGATAGGGAAGTCTCCTTTGGGATTTTTTTCAAGACTGTTTTAGAAAGGACTCTTTTCCTCAGACATTTCCTTGAACCTCAGTTTGGTGACTGTCAACAAAATATGGTCTTCTATAGTTGTTTTCCTGCCTAGTATCCACATGCTAGACAACAGATAATGATGAAAATACCACTACAGTTTGGAGATGCTGTAGATCAACCTACAGTGTTTCAGTCTGTGTTAGAATGTGCAAGCCAGTCCCCAGAATGAGGAGTTGCAATTTGTGAGGCACAGCACACAACTTGTTTGTTTTATAGTCAAGGTAACACATTGATTTCAGATGACTTTTCCCTTTGTGTTAAATCTCACTTTGTCATACAAGCCTGACTGAATCAGGGCAAAACAACTTCCACCTGGTGCGTGTTAGGGGCCTTCAGTTGCCCTGGAGGGAGGCCTACCAGGCGTCAGCAGCAAAGGCCCTGGTGGAAGATTTACAGAGCTACAGGTGTGGATAGTAGGCACTTTTGTTCCTGGTGGCATTGCATGATGCAGGGGTTAGGCACGGGGGGCCTCTGACCAACTTTGAGCAGAGGCTACCACCTAAGGAATAGAAATGGAAAGCTGAATGTAGGTTGGGCCTGAGCTGATAGTTCACTGCCAGGGGAAAGGCAGCTTGATGCAGCCCCAGTCACCAAGTGTGGTTAGAGGAATGGACTGAATAGGTCAATTAAATTTCCTGAAACACCAGTGCTGGCAGATTCCTGAGGAAGAATAAGTAACTGGAGTGCGGGCACACGTGAGTCCACTTACCTGCTAATATAATATCTGACTGGATCTACAGTCTCATCCACAACTCTGTGAACTTTCAGCCACTCAAAGCTATTTATGACCTCTTATCCAGTAATGTTACCTCTTTATATTACCACATAGTTCCCTCCAGAAACATTCATGATTTAAGTCAGCAGTTGAGAGTTTGAGGGTTGAGAGTTTGCCTCTGGGAAGGAAATTTCACATGCCTTATTTATTATCGCCATGAGGTGCTCTGAGGGTGAGGGGGGTTGTGCTCAATGTCTTTATTGCTTGTGGAATTGCAACTGTTCTCATCACCTACTTTTCAACATACTGGTTTTGGATGAAGTGAACACAGAGGTAAAAGAATTGTCCCCACCCAAAAGCTTGGAGCATAATGGCACCACTTTTTTGGAAATGGTTCAGCCTTTGGAGACAATTCTATCCTGGGCATTTGTTTCTTCACATTCTCTAATCTCTTCAGAAAGTTTCCGATTCCTGTTCTTATGTCATCTCCGTCCTAACAGCTTTAAGTACAAACTCCTGCCTCTCATCATCTCCACGAGTCCCCATCACCTGCTGCAGCAGGACTGCTAATCAGGGGCAGCCTTCATACTTGTTAAGTTGGACTCAATACAATAGATATAAAAGAATGTGGTTTTTATCAGTGGGTGCCGCCTTAAAATGACAGCGCATCACCTTTTTAATATCTTGGGTTTTGCATCTCTCTATGGAACTAAACAGTCATGTGTGCCTACCGGCCTGGCATCTTACTAGAGCTGTGGGCTCCTGCACTCAGCTCACCTGAGCTAGCAGAGCCATGCGGTGGCCAGCTTCCTAGTTCTTGAGATAGATCCTTGCTCTTCCCAGGATCCAGAGCCACCATGGGGCCTCTTCCCAGGCGGACATGTCTGCTGCCTTCAGCTGATAGCGCAGCAGACAAAGCACCTCCTAGCTCAAGGCTAGATGCTATAAACTCTACAAAATTAAGTGTTGTGCTCCAAAAGCATTTTTGAGAAAAATTCCACAGTCCAGAAAAGCGTGTCACGTAAGTACCAAGATGCTTTCCTATGAACAGGTTTTGCGCAGTTCAAGATGATTGTTTTGTTTTGTTTTTTTTTCCTTTACTGTGAAAGGAGAGGCACCTTGCAAGGTTGAGTTCATGTAGTACCTGCAGTTTCCAGGAGCCTCGTGTGGGTGGGGCGGGCCTGTCTCAAGAATATGAGTATCCGAGAAGGCACAAAAATAGCATGACTATTACCCTTCATGGGAGAGTCAGGGCGAGGCCTTCACTCCATCTCAGGGTTAATATCCCAGAGGGGTCTGAGGGGCAAAGGGGAAACAACTGTAAGGCAGTGGCAGCCTGTGGACTGAGGAATAGGCGGGAGCCCTTAGCTCTGGCGCAGAGCTCCGTGTTGGCCTCCACCCTGGCGTGACATACATGTGTAGGGAAATGCTGTGGCCCTATGTGGTCCACAAGGCCAGAGGGTGATGGGGTAAAGGAACACAATTGCCATGGGTCTTCTAAACTTCTGTAGGGAAGACCAGGTGACTCAGGGCAGGACCACTCACCACTGGCCTCCAGTGTCTGTGGGTTTTATTTAAACTCCAAGGAGTCTGTGTCTTATCCTCTCTGCTCTATCACTCAGCCCAGAGCACAAGAGACAATTTAGAACTGAATAGTCAAAAGCAGCATGTCTCATGTCCTGCCTGGACTAGGTTCAGTGCAAGGTGCGAGGCTCACTATACCCTTGTGAGGTGGGCACCATGGTGCCTGTTTCTCAGACATGCAGCCTTCAGAGTGGAGAAATAACTTGCCTTGGAAAGCTGGCATTCAAACCCTTCTTCCTGGCTTGCTCACCCCACTGTACGCTCTGCCTCACCTTCGTGGCAGGGGCTCCACCATCCTGTGTAAAGTCAAAGAGGACGAAAGAGAATGGTCTTAAAAAATAAGTTTTTTTTTTTTTTTTAAAGAACCTACTATTAAGTAGTAACTAAACTAATGCCATGAAATTTAAAAAAAAAGTGAATCCTGTTTTGAAAAAGTCCTTTCAGACTTCTTATTGCTTGTATTTCTTGGACCCTGCAGTCATCATTAGTAAACGCAGGGCTGGCTTGTGCTTAGCAAGAAGTGTACTGGTGCGTAGCTCTGCATGTAGGAGGTGAGAACACATTCAACTGAATGTCTTAAATGCTGACATTCCTTTGATAGATTTGTTTTCAGAAGTAGCTAACTCATTTAGTGCCAAAATTTCTGGATAGTGTGATCAAGCTGGTTGGATAGCATTTGAGGTCAAAAACTAAGGTGTGACTGAAGTTCTTGAAAAGATAAATGGGAGCACACGCCATCACGGTACACGCTGGTTGGGCCCCCAAGAAAACATCTTCAAAGGAGGATGTTTGTTCAGATGTGAAAGTTCCCAGCGCAGACCCCTGAGGGCCATCCTCACTCATGGCTGGTGAGTTCCTCCCTTCATCTCCTGGCTCTCTTGTGAAGCATCAGGCACCCTGCGACCGTGAACTCATCCTGAAGAAGCTAGAGTGAGCAGTCCCTGTGCTTCTGGCTTAGGTTAGCCTAATGCACCGCCAACTAGGGCATTGACCCATAGTTCTGAGACACTTGCACTGATTTTGAAACTAGAGCACTTCTTTGGGGAGAGGAAAAATGCACAGTTCAGTATTTTGTATCTTATTTAGAAATACCCTTAATATTGGAGATATTTTTTCTATGTGAAAACTTTTGTAGGGCTCAGAGGGATTTTTTGTTTCCTTCTTGACAAAGTGTCATTCTGAGGTTTTGGGAAAAGAGATACAGTTTTGTAGTTAGCTTTTGCATATGTGTTCTTTCTTTTTCTTCTCTCAAATCCCCAGAGAAAGAAATGGTTAAATCACTAGGAATGTTAAAATATGATTGTTAATTTGTTGTGCTTAAGTATCTTTTTGATGTGTTAGAATTTGTCCTGTGTGGTATAGACTTGGAAAATCCTGTGAAACCAAAAGGAACAATTCAGGCCTAAAAAGAGACTGGCTGTGTCCACTGGGCATTTTTAAAGAGGACATTTCAAGGAAATCACATGTTAGATTCTGCTTTTTATCAGTTTTTGGAGACATCTAATGTCCTTCCGGTGTAGAGTTCTTAGGTGGGAAGGATGGGGCCACATAGGGATGGGACGGAATCGACCTACCTGAGAAACACCCCACTCACTTACTCTGTACTACCTTGTTCTATTTCTTTAAAAAGAAAGATGTTTCATCATGGGTTGCTGTGGGTTTTGTTAATGTTTGTGTTGCTGGATTTATGGTTAAAGGAAACATGGCTGGATTATGAACATTTTGAGTTTTCACATTGTCTCAGATTTCTCTTTACCAACTGTTAAACCTTAGCCCCTGGTCAATTGTGTTCAATTCATATGAGAATGTTATTTAAAGTTGTATTATAATTGCAACCTCCACTAATTATTCAGTACTGTAGCAGCAAAGTATTATTTGTAAGAATTTGGTTATTTTTATACTTATATCCACTATAAGTCTGGCGTTCTAGTCAGTAAAATGATGCAATAAAATAAATATCATTTTCATTGTGTATTTTTCTCTTAATAACAGGCAAACCAGAGTGCATGGTTATTTTTCACATGGACGTCACTTAAGCAATGGGACAGTCCAGTGAGCTACTGCATGACAGATGTGGGGATGGGTCATTTCTGAAATGAATCACCCTCATTGCCCAACACAGCGAGGAAATAAACCTAGAAGTGTGACTATACAATTGAGGCTACTGGAGGAGGAGGAGAAGTATGGGAGAGCAAAGGTTGGAGGGGCTCCAGTGGATTGAGGGTGGAGGCCTATAGGTGCCTTGGTGGCGAGTGTAGTGTGCTGACATGCATCCAGTTACTTCAGTAAGAAATAATAAAATGTAAGAGAGGGCCTGCCCTGGTGGTGCAGGCAGTTGAGCGCAGTGCTGTGAAGCTGTCCGCAGCATCTGTAGTGTTAGTTTGATCCGGGCCACCAGGCGAGGGTCCCACATGGTGTGGCAGACCTCTCCTGCCGCGCCTGCTGCTCCCTTCAGCAGTGTATTTCTTCAGTCTGCCTGTTCTGTTCCCCGCTCTGTCTCTGAATCCTCACCCTCCCCCGCATCTGGCTGGTACCCGGTTCTTGTATGGATAAATAAATAAATCTTTAAAAGAATAAATAAATAAAATATAAGAGAAAGGAAATAAACCTTTGATGATGGACAAATGAATAAACAAACAGATTGACCTAAGTGATAAAAAGCCTAATGCGAGTGTAACACCTGCTTTTGTTTACTTTCTACCACTTTATGCCAAAACTCTTAATACCTTAGAGGAGAAAGGAAGTTAAGTGTGTCTATGCTCTGTGGAAGAGAGAATATGGAATTCTAAGATGGCACCATGTACCTCACACTTATGGTGGCCAGTGACTGTGAGTGCCTGGCTACATGAATGTTTGAGTCAGTTGCTTCCTTGGGTGCCTTTTGCACGTGGAAGAGCCTCTCAGTTGCTTTATGGCAGAAACGTTGGCACTAGGAGAGGTTAATTACGGCAGCTTAGGGCCTCCCCGGTGGTGGAGCAGTTGAGCGCTGGGTTGCGAAGCTGCCCACAGCCTCTGCAGCGCCGGTTCGATCCCCAGCCACCGGGTGAGGGTCCCACATGGTGCGCAGACCTCTCCTGCCGCCCACTGCTCCCCTCAGTAGTGGGAGCATCAGTCTGCCTGTTCTGCTCTCCGCTCTGGTGAATTCTCTCACCCTCCCATGCTTCTGACTGTACCCAGTGCTTATATATATAAATAAATAAATCTTTTTAAAAAACATTATGGCAGCTTAGGGCAGGAAGGGGACCTTTTGGTAGAATAGATTAGGGCTACAGCACACCAAGCATTTCTGAATGGAGATGAAGGGCTGCACTCCGCTATCACAGCTACCTCCCCTACCATTTAACAAGCATTTAACAATTTCTTGCCTACCATTTAACAATCCCTGGTTGAGTCCCCACCCCGCTCGTTCCTGCTGAGCTCAGTCAGATATTACAAACATCCCAGCATTTTCAGACCCCCTCTTCCTTGGTAACTGTTTAGGATCTAAAAATATGGCAGGACTGACAAGCTGGCCTGAATGCTTGTCCTACTTGTGCGTGCGACCGGGCAATGTTGAGCCGCTCCCTCAGGATTTGTTTTGCCAGTAAGTAAAGATCTAAAAATATTTTTGGACCTTTGGACTTAAAGGACTTCAGCAATGTACAGTGTCACTTCCCAGTTGCTTGGGAGACTTGAAAGATAAGGGGATGGCCACATAGAAAATATAGCCAGTGCCCTCCTGTCTTGCATATTGAATGGCTAGGACAGTTACATAACTCCAGAATTGGATCGTGGCATCATGCAGCCACCAGATGCAACAAGCAAGAACTTCAGAGTAGAAAGATGCAACAGAAATGCCAAGAGTAATTTATGTTGATTTTTATTGACCTCATAGAAACTTACAGCACTCTCGGAAGACCTGGGTTCTGGTACAGCTGGTACAAGATACTAACAATTTCACAGCTATTTTTCCTGGATCATAATGTTAGACCTAAGTGTCTGCTCAGCTTTCTGAGTTCAGTGACCTGAGCAGTGAAGGGGGATATTAATTACTGTCTGGCAGAGTTGTTGTGAGGAGAAAAAGGGAGAATTCATGTGAGAACACTCAGTGAACTACATTGATTTCATATCAGTTTTCTTAAATAGAGCCCTCCTGTTCCTGGAAGAAAGACAGTGATGGTTACTGTGTCATTTCAATGCTGATTCACTAGTAACTGGTCCTGAGAAACTTGGACTTGCTGTCAAGGTACTCTTACTATTGCCCTTCTTTCTCTAGTTTTTCCCCCATAATGTGAAAGATTAATGGGTTCAGAATCATAAAATTTGTAGGAGTAGGATTCAAAATAGTCCTGTTAAACAGGATAAGTTCAGTGCCTGGCACCTAGTAGGCATTCACTAATAGAATGTGTCAGCAAGTGGGCAGGTGACTTATCCAACAGAATAAAGCTACTAAGTTAAAGGCCCTGGAGATCTAGCTTCTGTGCAAGCTACAGACTGAGGACTAGCTGATGGTGGATAATTAAATTACATATAACTGAACAGAAAGTATTGGCAAAGATCTCTTGTACCAAAGTTCAAGAAGGCATGTACAGATTAACCACTTTAAACACAAAAGCCCTTCATCACCTGATGATTTGTGGAACAACTCTACAACGTGAGAAGTGTCCTGGATTTGATTCCAGCGTGTATGTGTATGTCTGGGTTGTCCCATACCAACAAGCCATCTCAGACACTAGCAGGGTATCTGAGAATTCTGATGCTGTCTGCCTGGAGAGTGTGCCAACTCCCAACATTGAAGGGCCTGTTCCTGCAGGCGGCCTCCATTTCAGATGCCAGTTGCAAACCCAGGTTGTTACTATGCTGCTGACCAGCTGACTCTGAATCACAGGTTCCCACTGTCCCCTCCTTGGGTTGGATTAATTTGCTAAAATAGCAGAGAGCTCAGAAATTCTGTTTACTCACTAGATTACTGATTTATCACAGACTGTATTTAAACAATATGAATTAACAGTCAAATGAAGAAAAACATGGACAAAGGAGCTTCTGACATGGAACATGGGACCTTGCATGGTGGCATATGGAAGGTTCTGGTTCCTCAGCCTGGAAGCTCTGTGAAGTCCTCTCCTCTTGGATTTATTTATAGAGGCTTCATTATATAGGCCTGATGGATTAATTCATGGGCCACTGCGATTAATTCAACCTCTAGCCCCTCTCTCCTCCCTGAAATCAGGGGGTGGGACTGAAAGTTCCAACACTCTTTTCATGGTGGTTCCCCTGGCAACCAGCTGCAATCCCTAGGCATCTGAAAGTCACCTTTTTTTAACACCCATTTCACTTTTATGGCTCTGAAGGGTGTTGTGGGACTGAGATCAAGAGACTGAGGTCAGGGAATTCCAAGGGTCTAGGGAGCTGTCAGTGAGGAACTGTGAGTGAAAACCAAATACATTGTTTTTAAAGTGGATCAGTGATAGGACACACCATTTAATTCTGGACCTGAGATGAAGTAGACATTGAGTGTGTATTTGGCTCCCTCATAGACATGCTTCAAGCTGCTGTCTTATTTACCTGAAACTAGAATGTTCCTCTGCCCTTTCCTCCTGCTTACTTCCCAGCTGTTGTCAGTTTCCATTGCAAAGCATTGTCATGATGCTGGTATTACCAATAAGATAAAGATTGTCTTATTTATAAGACAACTTTATAATCTACAGAAATTGATCAATATTTAGCCCAGTGCCAGCTAGGAACAAGGTCCATCATTCCTTTTTCTCCACACCTATCACTCCCAAACTTGAGTATCCTGTCCCTTACTTCCTTATTGCTTATTCACATTTCACATTGAGGCTATCTCGTTTCCAGTGACCAAGGGACTGGGACATAGTCCTCATAACCCAGAAAATAAGAGCAGGATTCATTTTACTCACAGCATCATAGAATATGAGACCTGGAAGACTTTTCAGTGAGGTCATCTGGACCATTCGTTTACAGATCTGCTCATGGAAGGGTGCTCATCCTGGAGAAATCATCACTGAGCTGATGCCAAATGCATGAAATATGTAGTGAATTTTTAAAAGCTAACTTCACTCAATTTAAAGGTGCTCTCATTATTATGAGATAATGTTCTTTCCATTTTTCTGGTTATAAAAATGTCCTTTAGGGCCTCCCTGGTGGCACAGAGGTTCTATCAAGCTGTCACCAGCCACTGCCACCTGAGTTCGATCCCCACCAGGGAGCTAACCCACATGGCACAGCAGACCTCTCTGTCTCGCCTACTGCTCCCCTCAGCAGTGTATTTCAGTAGATCTGCCTTTTCTGTTCCCCACTCTGTCTCTGATGAATCTTCTTACCCCCACACCTCTGGCCTGTACCCCAATTCTTGTATGCATAAATAACTAAAAACAAATCTTAAAAAAATCTTCTATTGGGCCTCCCTGGTGGCACAAGGGGTTAAGACAGAACCTATGAAGCAATTACAGCCACTGCAGCTTGAGTTTGATCCCCGGGCAGGGAACAACCCACATGGCGCACAGACCTCTCTGACATGCCTACTGCTCCCCTCAGCAGTGTACTTCGGTCAATCTGCCTGTTCTGTTCCCCACTCTGTCTCTGGTGAATCCTCTCATCCCCCACACCTCTGGCCTGTACACAGTTCTTGTATGCATAAATAAATAAATCTTTTTTAAAAATCTTTTACTTTGACACTGTTAATCTTAATAAGAGAATAGAAATGTTAGGGCCAAGCTGAGATACATTTACTTGGGAATAACAGAGAACTGCAGTTGGGAGTACACAGATCTAGGCAGAAAACTAAAAAGTGCTCCAAGGAGGGATCCAGGTCAGGAGGTGAGGAGGTTCTTACAGAGGGAAAATGAAAGATGAGGCCGTGGACCAGATGAAGGAGCCACAAGGAAAAATGGTCTGGTGGAGGGTCAAAGGTAAGAAAGTTCTCTTGGTCAGTCCTTTCAAACTGGATGTTCTTGTTCCTATTGGCTTCTTGAAT